ACAAATTCAGACTTGATGTTCACTGTGAACACTCTTACACACACAACTCAAGCAAGTTTTAAGAGTCCGCTAATCCAAAAATCGAACAAAAAAAAGAAAATCTGTTGCATGCATTTAGAAAATGGTCAGCAAAATGTTCGGTATACATGCGCCTGTACTTTACTTTACAAATACAAAAAGGTTTCATCTCCTTACTTGCCCAGTGTGTGTGCAAGTAAGCGGCAAAAACGTTCACAAACACTGGTGTGGTCACAACAATTAAACAATGAACTGTCATATAGGTGCTTTAGAATGCGTACACCACAATGCGTACACCACAAACAAGTCGTACAAACCATGCGTTTGTACGACTTCATGGGCTTTCATGAACAATAGATAGTTATTTATAGAAAAGCAATTGTGATATCTGACGTTCTAAAAATATTCTGATCATACAAAACCATTGATTGTTTTAGTAAGATATTATAATATGCCATAAAGGCTTTCAGCTAGTCTTATTATACCTCACAGAACGTTACCAACTTTTTTAAGGCTAAAGTATGGCCACAACCTGAGTAGGTCTGAATATGTGAAGTAGCCAGTGACAGAACTGTACCTGTTATCTGTGATCTACAAGCTATTGACAGTGGATTGTGTTCTTCCTGTCCAGGGGAAAAGCCATACAAATGCACCTGGGACGGCTGCACGTGGAAGTTTGCCCGCTCTGATGAGCTGACGAGGCATTATAGAAAACACACGGGGGTGAAGCCCTTCAAGTGCGCAGACTGTGACCGCAGCTTCTCCAGATCTGACCACTTGGCCCTGCACCGACGGAGACACATGCTGGTGTGAATCAGACGGAGAGAGATAAAGAGAGCGAGAGAGATCAATGGGACACACACACAGGCAGCCGGGGGAGCGGGATCTCCCTATGAATGTTTTTCAGCTGGCCTGGATGCGCGCACACACACACACACACGCACAATAGACACACACGAACACACGCACACACACTCTCATCCGTCGTAAGGAGAAAAGATGGAAAGGTCCACAGAGCTTGTGGAGCATAAAACAGGGTCACTTCTGGATCCTCTTTGGGTTGGAAGGAATGGACGGCAGGATCTGTTATTGTCATTGTTTGGAGTATAATAGGGAACTGTCTTTTACAGCACTGTTTGTAAATGTTTCACTTTGATTTTTAAGATGAACTCGCACTCTTTATTTGGACAAAAAAATATATATAATGCAATCGCAGCTGTCTCTTTTTTGGTATCTTTCTTTTCATTATTGTTTTAAATGGCTGCTTTTCCAGCATTCATAATGTGAAAGACCCCATTGTATGGAATGGATTTCCTCTGTGAGCAGAAAAGAAGTTGATCACAGGAAAAGGACATGGGCCTATTTGGAGTTACAGGCAGTATTGTTGCGCCGTGCCTCCCTGTGAGTCGGATTTGTGACCAGCAGAGGGCGCCATTTCACCACAGTTCCCTTTGTTTGCTGGAACTTGCTGTCATATCCGAGGATGCCATATAGAAGCTAAAAGAGGGCTGGACTTTCACTTTTTTCATAGCCAGCAAAGAAGAAAAGAAATGAACTCAAATATCCACAACCTGAATGGATCAACCTCATCAACACGTCATTACTCTTTCCAATATTCATTGCTTTATTTCAAACAATGAAAACTGGACGTGCATATCATCGCACCAGCAAAGGCACACACACCGTTTATGACCCGCTCACAGGGCCGGACAACCCCAAATCTAATCAGTGCTATTCTTTATGTTGAGCCTCTTGAAAGCATTTTCTTAAAAAAAAAAATCTTTGGTGGATTTTGTGCTGTGATTAGCAATCAGTAAAGTGCAATCTTAGAGGATAAATATACTTTCAGTATGACAACGTTTTGTTTTATTGAATCTTGCTTATTTTTTTTAAATGCCTGCTTATTGCTCATGTTTGACTCAGAAAAATACAACCCCTCATGTACAGTGAACTTTGAAACAATCAGAGGAGATATCCAGTATGTGAAAAAAAAAAAAAAATAGTGGCACCTTACAGACTTAGCTCTCATTCTGTCCTGATCTATCTGTTTTTATTATTCAGCTCTGTCTTCTCAGCTGGGTTTGACAGTGAAAGGAACTTGCCTTGTGGTTTTGCACAGCAGCACTTGACCATAAGCTGAAACTGACATCGGCTGCAGTGTTATAGGGATAGTGTGGTTACCTGATGTACAATACAGAAGAGCAATACATACAGAACAAAGAAGAAGACGAGAAGGAACGTCAGCCTACTCTTTGTTCTGTTTGCTGATGTCAGTAATACTGGAGGAGAAGTTTCTAACTGGGCCAACTCCTCTGTACCACGACTCCCTCTGTTGATTGATTTGTAGCTCCAGCACAAGGCTCTAATCTGACGTGTCGCAGTCAGTGCGTTACTCCGAATCTTTTCATTTTGTTTTATTTTGTTTGTCTCAAATACAGACATTCACTTGAAATATCCTCACCTCAGACCAGATATTTGTTAAGATTATTATCTGATGTACCTGCGATTTGGCTATATAAAATGCTGACAGATGGAGGAATCACATTATGCATACATTTATAGCACATATATAAAAAATACATACACATGTACATACATGAATACATTATGTATGTACAGTCAGACTACATTTTATAGGCAGTTACTGGCAAAGAAAAATCTCTTGGAGAACATTACTTATTCTTAATTAGGAAATTCAATTAATGTATATTTTTACAGTCATAATAACAGACACTTTTGTAAGTATTTCCAATGCTCTCCATGCTGTGTAAGACCTGCAGACATGAACTCAGAGTATCAGGCCAACTCATTTTATTTGATAGTGCTGCTAAATGCATTTATTGGACCGGAGCCAGTAAAAAGAAATGGTAACCTTTTTGATAATAGCACCTGAAAACCATACACTCATGCACACACACGCACACACACACCTGCACATTTACATTCCTCGCTCTCAGCAATGTAGCCAAATCCAGGAGGTAATCGCCATACATGCACCCCAATGTATGTGACACCCCCTCAATGTAAAGGAGTAACTGAAATTATTATTTATGTATATTGTTTGCGCACATGTCATTATGCCCAGTTGTATTATCATTTTGGCAAAAGCATATCAGCACCTTGTTTTGTTTATTAGTATGATTTTCATATTATTTTATTTCAGATGTCAATTTATAAACAAATAATCATCATATTTTATCATCCATATAATGTATGAGAACATTTTATTATCGAGGGGCACTTCATCATTGCATATAACTCTTTTTTTCTTCTGTAAAAAGGATCTTTTGAAATGTTGTAATATATGTGATAGTGAAGATAAAACTTATTACAAAGTTCTACAGCCTGTATATACATTGGAAAAATAGGGCTTTTGATTAGTAGATGCAGGAAATACATTTATACATGTAAAGTCTTTTTCAGAGACTGTAATTTATCTAATTTGATATACAGTGAAATGGGGCTAATGGTATTCATCATGTAAATTATCATATGTGATGTTATATAACAGTTTGCTTTCTTTGGTTTGTGGTTAAATAAGTTCATGATCAAATCATTTTTATTCCCAAGGCTGAACCAGTGTTTGCTATAATCAACAAATTATTTATATACATTGACCGTATTAAGGTACTCGATTCCCTGTGTTGCTATTTTGCTATACCCAGACAAGAAATTATATTGATCAAGCACATATCAACAACACGTGTACTCTCATATTCAGTATATGACGTTGCATGCCTTAATACACCAGTTTTTGCTAAATTCAATTAGACTTGAATATGGTGTCTCCACAGGACAGGGTGTATTATATTTCCCTACAGCATCTCTTTCCTCATTTTAAAGCATAATTTTGTAACGGTAACCAGGGTCAAAGTTATGCAATAATAATGAATAGTGCCTCATATTGCAAACTTGTAATATCAGCTGCTCTGTGCAGAGTTTAGATTTCAACATGTGTGCTCAAATTAATAAATTTTCAATTTTGGAAAAAGCACAGACAACATTATGCAAGTCGGACCTCTAATGTTTCACTTTCTTTTCGCACTGAGCCTTATGCCATTGTGTCAAATGCAGCATCCTCCCATAACACTTTCACAGGCTGTTTATAGCTCGCGTTATTACTTTGCTTGCAATAAGTCACTTCCTCTAAGGGGAATAAAACTGAGTTGCAAAGGCCTCTTGATGTTTCAGCTTCATCACATGAACTCAACATAGTGACTCCATGGAAGATAATGAGGAATCTTACCCACAGGGGGACAAAAATCCTGTGGCTGGGATTCCGGCTGTAGAGTGATGCCTTTGTTAATGAATACTGAACTTACACTTCTTTATCAGTTCAATATCTATTTTACTTTCTGTGTAACATCTGCTTTTGATTTCCTGGTTTTGAAAATTTAAGTAGTGAAGCCAATGCCTTTGTTTCGAGTTTGCTGATATTACGTACAGTAATCGTTGTTCCTGTATTTATGTAAAGTGAGTGTAGTGTAAATATATTCAGATCTTTTCATTCTTACCGTAAAAAAAAATAATTGTGATATTGCTCAGCATTGCTTCAAAAGGGAGATTCTGCTCATGGAATTCCACATCTGTAAAAGAAATTTTTAATCCTGATATTTTTCAAAACTTCAAGAACAGGTGTCCTTTTTTTTTCTGTTACACTTTTATTTTCTCCAAGAGTTGTTTAAGTATCCAGTCAGTGTTTTGCCTTTTTCTCTGTATTTTTCATATGGATGGAGCTGTGAAATTAAAAATAAGTTCAAACATTTACATGTATATCAATATGAATGGAGGCATGAAGGTTAATAAAGTTGCATTTTGTATGTAACACACTGGTATGGAGCTAGTTGCTATCTACGACTGAGATGGATGGTATGTGGTTTCGATGTCATGGAGACATCTGAGCACTGTACTCACATTCTCTGGCATTCAGAAATCTAATCTTGGTATTAGGGAAGGCATTTTAAATTATAGGTGATATACAGTACAGTAGCCTGTACACAGAGTACGTCTGATATATATAATCTTTAGTACCTCACTCACATATTTAAATATCAAAGTGAAACATTGTGTAACTCTGTGTAATACAATGTTACTTTGTTATTATCTAGTACCATCAGAGGGTGATATTTTAAGACCTGGTTTGTTTTAACACAACATGTAGTGAATACAATTTCTGAGAACAGGTTGCACTTAAAAGAAAACGCCCAGTACATCCTGTGCAGCACTCCATTATAACTGGATCTGGATGAATGTTTCTGTCAGCCACCAAAAGGATTCAGATGATTACAATAACAAGGTTTCAATTCCCACTCCACAAAAGCATCTCGGTGTGCAGTATATCGCATACGTGATTTATCACTCACAAGAACCTATGGGCTATACTGTACAAGCAAAGAAGCTAAAAGCAAATAAGAGTAATATATTGTAAGAATCCTCCCGGCGAAGTAGGACAGGCTCAGACAGCTTCTCTTGGCACCTTTTGTCAGCAGCACCTCTGCTATGACTCATGTCACTTTCCAATAATTAAAAACAAGATTTCTCGTGTAGTATTCTTGTTTTATTTTCACTACTTAGAATTGTTAATAAGAACAAGTGCATTAGGTGTGTGCTCCTGAATAATTACTCAGTACTTAAACCAAAGCATGTGTTGCTGCTCTACGAATAACTTGAGCAGCAAAGGCAATCTGACAGTGGGAGATGTGAAGAAAGAATAACATTTGTTGATCAATTTGGAATTTAAAATTGCAAATTTTGCACATAAATATGTTCAGTTGTTGTTTCCTCTTTTCAAGTGGCTGTCAGTGCCCCTTCATTTAGAATCAGAACATACTTTTAAATGGTAAATGGTAAATGGACCTGTTCTTGTATAGCGCCTTTCTAGTCTTCCGACCACTCAAAGCGCTATAAATCTATTTATAACATTTTGAACTTTACATGTGTAAAATAAATATATTTTGAATGCAGCCCTGCTATTTTCATACAAAATGCAAACATTGTAATAACTCTAATCCACATAAATACAACCTGTGTTGACCTTTAACAACAAACTGTGGATGGATATAACAAATATAATAGACCTCTACTGTGCGTAAGAAACTTTTACTTTTAACAGAAGATCCACATTAGTGTAGTCACCCATGATCTAAAAGCCCAATGTATATGAAACACACATGGATAATGTACAAAAAATGAAAACTTTTTGCATTTAACAATATTTTAAAAATCACACGTCAACATATTCAACACAAAACCTTTATTTGCACTGTGAGGGTCACAAATTTGATCAATTTAGACTACGTCTTCATGTTATTAAGACAATGACAAATGTCAAAATATTTGTGTGTATATATATTTTAAAAGTATTGCAACAATTCACTGGCACATACTCAACTGAGCTGCTATCTTGCCTGTGATGACAGTGTAGACTGTAACAATATTCTATAATTTGATCCTTCTTAGACTTTGCAAAAAAGAAAATTACAAATAAAAATAAACAGTCTCTGCAATTTAAAAAAAAGTTTAAAATCTTTATACACCTAAAAACAATCAATGGATTGTATCCTTAAACAGTAGATACAAAATATATACACAATAACAAATTATAGAGACTTTAAAAATCAATTTTGTTTAACCTGATTCAAATTATAAAGAAACTTGGTCATAAATAGAGAGAGAGGAGGCGGTAGAATCATTTTAGCAGAGTAGAGTACCTGATAAAAGAACATCGTCCCAACGGAGCAGCTTCATCCAAACAAAGCAGCTAAAGGCACTTTGAAAAGGTGTTTGAATTCGTGGATAGTAGTCAAAGAAACCAAAAGCTTACACAGATGTTCAGACTGGCAGGTGCTCAGTCTAAATCTAGGAAAAAAATCTCAAGCTCACATACATCACTTTGAAACCACTTATGAAGACAAATCATCAGTAATATGATAATGTAATCCTGTTATAAGATACCGTTCAGAAGTCAGGATGAACGAGTCTCCATTCGTCCATCACAACAACTTCCAGGAGAAAGAAAAATAACCCTGACCTGCTGCTGAAATGTCATGTGCTCAAAGTTTCTTAAAATTTAGTTTGAGCGCTTCTCTTATGCCATCGTATGTATCAAATGAGATATTGCTGAAGATAACATGGGAAAAAACAAAATAAGTTAAACGTTTTAAAATTAAATAAAATCATGCGGTATTCATAGAAGGCCTGAAATCAAAAATGCACCGTTTTGATTGATCTTTGCACCTGCCTGAAAGACATTTAACATCTATGTTACAATACAGGGGCATAAATATAGAACATTCATAGTGCTGTCTAAATGACTATAATTAATCCCCATTCTCTTCCTTTTATTTCAGGGTTATGAGTAAATATATATATAGTCATTGTTGTGACTGAAGTAACCTATAAATCTGGCAGTGTAAAAGTCATGTTGTAAGCACCGCACTCACCATGTGGCTTGCAAACAGTGCTCATCCCAATATTTATTCCTCCTACTGCATCTTTTAGTAAATCCACAACTTGTTCACATACTTTAACTTTAACTAACTCCTGTTACTGTCTATATTACGCATAAACACACTTTGTTCTGCTGGCTAAAACAACACATCCCTTGACCTTCCAGTTCATAGCAACACTATATCTGCACTTACACTATGGCAGTTTGTAATTTACGTTAATTAAATAAATGGCCATAAATGACATCATGTGATCTGTACAACGAAGAACTTGAAAGTGAAATATTGATATTTTTTCTGTACTTTGCAGTAAAAGAAAATCTGGAAATATGACGTGAAAAAAAAGGCTTAAAAAGGTTTGGAAATATTATTTAATTATTTGGCTAATTACACCTTTGTAACTGTCCCCCAATATTGGGACATACATGTGGAAATAAAATAAGGCAACGGTAATATTTTATCTTTTTACAATAAAAGAAACAATTACTTATGGGCCAGCGCTGCTAAGAGTATCTCCACTGGGGAGTGAGTGGAATAGCCCACAGTTTTTAATTTGTTTGTTTGGTTGTTCCATATTTGAAGTCCATGTTTACTGTAAAAAAAAAAAGATTGACTTATTTGCAAGAAGAGGGCTTCTAGCTCTGGTGTCTCTTCATGTGCAGGGCCAGGTGATCTGAGCGGGAGAAACAGCGGTTGCACACACCGCACTGGAAAGGCTTCGCCCCGGTGTGTTTCCTAAAATGGCGAGTCAGCTCATCAGAGCGGGCGAAACGCCACTCACATCCCTCCCAGGAGCACTGATACGGCTTCTCTCCTTCAGCAGACAAAAAAAAAGAGAAAATTAAGCTATGGCAGACAGACAACACACATTTGGATACCCAGCTCTCCATCAATAACATTTCTTAAAAGTATGGAACATTTCTAAACACCTGAAATTACTGAGAAATGATGATGACTTTTGATGATGAAAAATCTGATACTTTTTCGTACGCACGTGGCTGTGAGCCATAAATCACAGCATGTCCTGTCTTTCCCCCTGCCCCCTTTATGAGAGCTGCAGGGTTTATGTGATTTGACAGCAGTGAAATGTGGGCCAGGTCTGTCAGCAGACAGAATGCATCTGCATGCCAAGTACATTTTTCTGCGTGGCAACATCACCACTTTCACCCCAAAATAACAACAACTCAAAACATTTTACCTGTGTGTGTCCGTAGATGGGCTTTTAAATGAGAAGACTTGGTGTACACTTTCTTGCACCCTAAAGGAAAAAAAAGACAGCTCATTAAGATCACAATACTGTCCTCTCGCTTTGACGTTGCCTAAAAATAAAAACAACACTCACCTGGGACATCACAGTGGTGGATCCGCCGTCTCTCCAGATCAGGATTATTCCTTCTGTTGTTCTTAAATGGAGCCGACTGGGCCAACACTGGGGACATCGGGCCGACACCCGGCGTCGTCTGAACTGGTGTCAGGGTCGGACGCTGGACTGGCACAGGACCTGGGCTTTGGACTAATCTGACATTGGAATGCTGGTCTGGGCTTTGGATTGGAGCTACACTAGACGTCTGCCCTGGATCAACAGGATTGTGGGGCTGAAAAGTTGACTTGGAGGCGATGCTGGCTTCATAGGAGGGAGGTGGGGATAGATTTTGGAGGAGCTCCTTCCCCCTGTCTGGACTTGAGGGCTCAGAGTTCGGTGGAGAAGGTGGCAAATAGGTTGGTCTCTGCTGGTGGCCGAAGTGTCGGAAACATTCATTCTGAGTGCTGCTTGTGGGTTTGGCAGAATTCTGCGCTGGGCCTACGTGGACGTTCCCCATAGGAAGACTTAACGGGGCCATGGGGATGGAGTTCAGCTGCGAACCGTGAACAAGCTGCTCCAAGTCAGAGTTCAAAAGCTGGAACAGGGGAACATCCTGGAAATCTGGCACTTCCTGCTTGATGAAAAAGCCACCACTGGCAGTATCGGATGCACCGAAAACACCTGGGTATTCTGGGAGTGCTGGTGGCGCTCCGTTGCCCTGACAGGTGGGGTGCATCAGAGAGTGGGACGGCTCTGTTTTGATCTGTCTCATAGTCCTGCAGAGACCTGAGTGCAGGTATGTGACGTCAGGAAGGAGCAGGCTCATGTTGACACTGTAAGGAGAGGCGAAGTCCTCGGTGAAAGGCGGCTCTAGCATCAGAGCGCTGTCCCTGCACAACATTCTGGAGTTTACTACCTCCTGCGGGTGCGGAGACAGGTAGCTGTCCATGTCTGATTTACCCTGGAAGACAAAAAGAGAAGGAAATGGTAAAGTTGTGTCTGTTTATAATAGCTAATTGATTCAGACTCATGGGTGCATGATCGCTGACATTGCAAAAGCATCCAGATAGATGC